AGTTAGAGATCTCTGTAAGGACAAGGTAGGGAAGGGGAGGATAGAAGGAAATCATTGGTATGGGAGGTCTGGGCAAGATTTGTTTTTTGTTTTTTTGAGTTTTATCAAATCAAAACTCAAAAACTTTATCATGCCAAACCCCCCATCCCCACCACTCTCTTTCGAAACCAAACCCTAAACATCTCTCTTCCCTCTCTCCCATCTCTCTCTCTTTCTCTCTCTCTGTCATGGATGTCTCATTTGCCTTGTATATATAGGCAAATCCATCACTGTGTAGTAGAGATGGGTGGTTCTGGGAAACAACCATTTGGAAGTTGAGGTCTCAGAAACCGCGTTTGCTTTATTATGGAGTGTTAAAAGTGGTGCCCCCCTTGAGATAGATACGAAACCAATAGGGAGCTCCAAGGAATTGATGCAGTGATTGAGATGGATATCTCACTTTTGAATTTGTTCTAATTTTTAACGTGGTTTTTTTACTTTTTCTTTTCTTTTCTTTTCTTTTTCTTTCTTCCTCTTTTTTTTTGGTTCAATTTTTAATTTTTTTTTTTTTTTTGTTATAGGAAAATCCTCCCTATCCTCCCGCAGGTCCAAGGCAGCGCCCATTGCAGAGATCACCAGGGTATCCTGTTAGCCGTTCCGAGCGAGGAGACTATAATCTGGGAACTTGCCCCGACCTCCCAAGACAAGCTCTGCTTCAGTCAGGACTCGCACAGCGAGGGAGCATTGAACCCACACCAACTGCTGATTTGACAACTTGAGATTCAACCTCCTAACCAACTGTGCTTCGCCCAGGAGATTGGCCCAAGAGAGAGGGGAATTGAACCTGTGACCTTGAGGCTTAAACTCCAAGGCTTAACCACAATGCCACCCACTCCTGGATTAAAAAAACCAATTCAATTTTAAATTCAAAACCAATTCAATTTCTTACCATTACAAACTTTGTCATATAAAACCTTATTCATATAAAACTCTTTTACAAATTCTATTATTATCTTTAAAAGCAATAAATGTTTGAAACTTTTAGACCAAATAAAACCTTATTCATTTTCATTAAATCTTATTATAATTATTATTCAATTTGAGTGTTGGAGAGTCAAGACCTTCACTCCTATTTATACCTAACAGTTTTCCACAGCTTGATAGAGGGAAAAAATATTCTCAGATTCCCCAAAAAAAATTGTGTTCTCATTCAAAAGCTCATTTCTCTGTTAATTTCTGTTTGTGGGCAATTCTGGTTCGAGACGTGGTTCTTATCCCTCTGGTGTACGTGAGCATCAGACGAGGAAAGCTATGAGCATTACTGGTTTCTTAGAGGACAGATTTATTGTTAAATTTATTTTCTCAGTTATACTTTATATTTACATGCTTTAGGATTTTTTTATTCTATTTTACAATCTTGCATATTATAGTCTTATAATTTGTGCACTTTTGGCATTCATTATATTAGTTATTGTGTTAGTTAACAATTATTTAATTGTTGATTATGTTTCTTTATATTAGATTTCTAACATTCTAAAGCAACTGATCAAATACAAAATTAGTCAAAATAAATTTTATTATATATATATATATAATAGAAAAATAATTTTTAAATTTGAGAGGATAATTTGTGTAAACTAATTGGGCCGAGATAGGTAAGATTACCTTTGGAAGTTGGGCCACGCAATGAGCCAAGATAAGAGCTCGTGTAGCTCAGTTTTGGGTTGAACCTATGTTGGGTTGGTCAGAGATGGTTGTTTGGACATGGACTTAGATATTTGTGCACGATCAATAAGCGAACTGAGGCGACTTTAATGGAGAAGGTCGAGTTAGACGTAGCTCAGAAAAAGGCCACTCTTTGGTCAGATTTAGCACGGCTCGGCTAGAAGTAAAACAAAGCAATATAGCTCAGTTAAGCGCAGTGATAGCCAAGCAAAGAGTTCTAGCCATTTCACTTGGCTGGCAGTGAGAAGGGTGTCCTAGGGATAAGTATTATCCTTAGGGAATGTGACTCTTAGGAGGACTCTGCTAAGGAGAGTCAGAGTCCTACTAGGATTGTACCACGTACGAGAAATCTATAAAAGCTCATAACCACACCTATTTCCAGGTATTGCAATTCATACTCCCGAATTCATAAAGCTTTTGTGTCTATTGTTTGTCTGCTGACTTAGGCATCAGAGGGGTTTCCGATACACACCCACTAGCTAGCTCACGTTTGTGTTTTCAGGTGATAAGCTAAACATTTGGAGAAGTGCAAACTTGATCAACAGGATTATACGAGAAAAATTATTTTCATGCTCGTACAATATTAAAACAGTTTATGGTTCTTGTATATCAGTGAGTCAAATATTAAAAGTTTATAAAGCTTACAATTGCCTTTGTCATTGTGAACAGAATGTTTTCCTTTAGCTTTGTTAAATACTTAGTCTCATGGCCAGAATTGATGAGACTAACGCTTCTAAATCAGGAAAATTTAGTGGAGAACATTTTAGGAGATAGCAAACTCAAGTGCGCTTACCGTCTTGGGACTATTTTCTGCTATTGACAACTCTCAGCCTAGCCAGACCAAACATCATCTTGGATGACAGAAGAGCAAATTAAATATCACTGTTATCGTAGAATTCTTAATGCCCTATCAAACCATCTTTATGACGTGTATCTTTATGCAACTATAACTACAAAAGGTCTTTGGGAAACATTAGAAGTTGAGTATGGGATTGATGATGTTAGCATAAATAGGTTTACCGTTTCGACTTTCAACAATTACAAGATATCAAATGAAAAACCTATAGGCGAACAAATTCATAAATTTCAAGAACTTTTGAGGGGTGTTGAAAAAAGTGGGACATTTTTTAGTGAAGATTTGAAAGTATCATGTCTTATTGATAAACTACCATCATCTTGGATAAACTGTGCCCAGTCTCTTAGGCACAAACAAGGAGGGCTTATCTTGCTCAAACTTTAAACTCCCTTAGGGTGGAAGAGAAACATAGAGCTAGTTTGCCCAAACCATCAAAAAAGCCACCTAAGGTAGACCTTATTGAAAATAAAAATAGCAACAACAACAACCACCGTAGCAATAAAAATTTGAACAAGAACTTCAACAATAGGCCTCGAAATTTCAACAATATAAATAATTTTAAACCTAGGGGCACAAACTTCAAAACCAATCGGTTCAATCCAAATAGAAACCTAGCTTTAATTCATCAAAATAGTGACAAACCCAAGGGCATCGTTAAAGGTAGCAAGCATTGCTTTGTTTGTAGAAGAATGAATCATGTTGCAAAAGATTGCTATTTCAAAAAGACCAAACCAGTGCAATATCAAAGGTATTCAAGGGCTCAAGTGAGTATGTTAGAAGAGAATCAAGCTAAACCATCTTTTAGGTATAGTTCCTCTTTAGTAAATTTTACATACAAAAATAAGGATTGGTGGTTAGACTCTGGAGCTAATGTGCATATTTGTATTGATCATAAATGTTTTAAAACTTATCAGGAGTCAAGTGGAGGAAGTGTAACACTAGGCAATAATTCAACCACACAAGTTCTTGGAGTTGGTAGCTGTAGACGTCCCCCGAACGCCCCGGGAGGGTGAGTCTCATTCTGTTCGTTTGGGGTCACTACAGCTCAGGACTCTCAAATTTGTCACGGTTCTAAGTCTGAACCAAAGAGTCCAAATCCGGCAAATCGTTTTGAGAAAACAGATTTTGAAAGAAGTGCCAAACATGGACTGCTTTGCCAGATACAGAGTCGCCACCTAAATATTTTATTTTGGGAAATTTAGGAAACCCTGACTCGTTGCCTAAGGCCACGTGTCCGTCATCACCAAAGTTACCTCGGCTCGGGAACTTGGGTACGATTGGGGAAGGTCACTTCGTGAGCACCCCCGCTCGCCCGATCAAAGATCGGCCTCTACTAACCATGATATCTATTTTTGAAAACTTTGTGTGTCTTTATTCCGGTTATTAGCCTAGATTACTATGTGATGTACACAACATACAAGTATAGACTGAGTCGATTGAATTGGAGCAAAACATTTCGTGTTTGTTTTTGAAAGATGGTTTGCTACTCGCAAGTAGGCTTAAAATACAGATTTTGCCACCCCTCAGGTGGGCTTAGGAAAAGATGGTTTTGCCACTATCTAGTGGGCTTAAAACAAACAATTGATGATTTATTCCAATCCAAGTGACCCAACCTTCACCCACAGGCATTCAGGCAATTATATCACATAAGCATATAGTCTCGTGGTAAGCATGCTATTCATGGCAGTCACTCACACGCATACAAGGATGCTAAAGCATAAAACTCACCGAGTACTCCAAGCCAAAATAGAAGCTAAGTTTAGAAATCATGCATGATCCTAAGTATACAAAAATGCCTAATGCAACACATGCAAAACATTTCCATTCAACTCATTTTAATCAAAAGAAAATAATTCCCCGTAAATACTACTTTCTTGTGCTCTTTTGAAAAAATGCAAGAATATACTGTAAGAACTCAAAAGTACGGAAAAAAAAGAAACAGAGAATAAGGTACCCGAATAAAACAGCCTAAATTATATATACTTTCTAAGGAAAATTACAAAAAGCGTTTGTTTCTTATAACAAAACAAACTTGAATTTTTAATTTTGTCAGTTTAAACCATACCCATTGAGATTTGTTTTCAGTCTAAACCATTTGACTCGCTATAACTAAAAAACAAAAAAAAAAAAAAAAAAAAAAAAAAAAAATTGTATTTTAGTTATTAAAATCAACGAAAAATGGTATTTTAAACATACAAAATAACAATTTTCGCCCCTTTTTTGTTAACATTCTGATGGTTTAGATTAAAAATAAATAAAAAAAGATTAGAGATTAAATTGAAGCTCATACAGCATCATTCAAAAACTCTATAGATCAGAATCACAGTCACGTATATCATCAATCGATCACATAATAGTCATACAAAACGCGAAAAACACAACTCAATTGAATCGATGACACATGCAGCAAATACACAGAAAATGAATTCAAGTGTGAAACCTGGCAAGTCCCAAGGCTCGAATTTGCAAATCTCAACCTCAGGAATGACATCAACGCACTTGTCAGAGCCTTGGATCTTCTTTTTCAGGTAATAAGATATCAACTCTTCGTCTGTAGGGGTGAACCTAAACCCTGGAAACATGGACGAATCCGCGATTGACATAGTAGCAGGCGGAGGAGGAGGAGGAGGAGGAAGAAGAGGAGGCGTCTCTCCCTCCATTATCTCCTCAAACTCAGACCCCCCACAATCCCTCTCTTTCTGTCTCTTTCTCTAGATATGCATATATGTATATGTATTGTGAATGTAAGAAATTCGAGAAGTGAATGAGTCGAAGGTGATTGATTTCATTCTCTTTCTGCGGGGGTTAACTTGCTTGCTTGCTAGCTCTGCTTTCGGTTGCTTTGCTTTGGCTATGGCGGAAAGGTGTGTGTTTGTGTGTCTCTTGTTGACTCGGCTTTGACGCTTTTGAGTCTCTGTCTCTCTCTCTCTGGTGGGTTTTGCGTGGGTGGAGGGTTTGTCTCGGAAAGTAGGCCCGCGTGGGATTGGAATGCAGAGTACGGCTGTTAGTGTAGAACGTGGACAAGCTCGCACGTGCCTTTGGCTTCTACTAACAACTATACCATTCTTGCATTTATTTTTGTTTTTTTAATCATGCGTATGTTAACTAATTTTGAAAGATTAATTTCATAACTTATTTCCGAAGATTCAATTTAAAATTAGACAACCGCTTGTATGAACATTGCCTCAAAAAATTTATTGAAACTAGTGAATATTGAATCCAAAAATTAGAAGAAACACACTATTAAATTTTTTTTTTTTTTTTTTTTTTGTTATAGAAAAATTCTTCTTATCCTCCCGCAGGTCTAAGGCAGCGCCCTTTATAGAGATCACTAGGATGTCCTATTAGCTGCGCATGTCCAAGGCAGCGCCCCTTACAGAGATCACCAGGATATCCTGTTAGTCGTTCCGAGCGAGGAGACTATAATTTAGGAGTTTGCCCTGACCTCCCAAAACAAACTTAGTTGTGCAAGTCCAAGGCAGCGTCCCTTGTAGAGATCACCAGAGTGTCCTGTTAGCCGTTCCGAAGGAGAAGACTATAATCTGGGAACTTGTCCCGACCTCCCAAGACAATCTCTGTTTAAGTCAGGACTCGCACAGCGAAGGAGCATTGAACCCACACCAAGTGTGGATTAGACAACTTGAGGTTCAACTTCCTAATCAACTGTGCTTCACCTAGGATATTGGCCCAGGAGAGAGGGGAATTGAACCTGTGACCTTGAGGCTTAAACCCCAAGTCTTAACCACAATGCCACCCACCCCTGGGTTAAAAAAACCAATTCAATTTTAAATTCAAAACCAATTCAATTTCTTACCATTACAAACTTTGTCATATAAAACCTTATTCATATAAAACTCTTTTACAAATTCTATTATTATCTTTAAAAGCAATAAATGTTTGAAACTTTTAGACCAAATAAAACCTTATTCATTTTCATTAAATCTTATTATAATTATTATTCAATTTGAGTGTTGGAGAGTCAAGACCTTCACTCCTATTTATACCTAACAGTTTTCCACAGCTTGATAGAGGGAAAAAATATTCTCAGATTCCCCAAAAAAAATTGTGTTCTCATTCAAAAGCTCATTTCTCTGTTAATTTCTGTTTGTGGGCAATTCTGGTTCGAGACGTGGTTCTTATCCCTCTGGTGTACGTGAGCATCAGACGAGGAAAGCTATGAGCATTACTGGTTTCTTAGAGGACAGATTTATTGTTAAATTTATTTTCTCAGTTATACTTTATATTTACATGCTTTAGGATTTTTTTATTCTATTTTACAATCTTGCATATTATAGTCTTATAATTTGTGCACTTTTGGCATTCATTATATTAGTTATTGTGTTAGTTAACAATTATTTAATTGTTGATTCTGTTTCTTTATATTAGATTTCTAACATTCTAAAGCAACTGATCAAATACAAAATTAGTCAAAATAAATTTTATTATATATATATATATAATAGAAAAATAATTTTTAAATTTGAGAGGATAATTTGTGTAAACCAATTGGGCCGAGCTAGGTAAGATTACCTTTGGAAGTTGGGCCACGCAATGAGCCAAGATAAGAGCTCGTGTAGCTCAGTTTTGGGTTGAACCTATGTTGGGTTGGTCAGAGATGGTTGTTTGGACATGGACCTAGATATTTATGCACGATCAGTAAGCAAACTGAGGCGACTTTAATGGAGAAGGCCGAGTTAGACGTAGCTCAGAAAAAGGCCACTCTTTGGTCAGATTTAGCACGGCTCGACTAGAAGTAAAACAAAACAATATAGCTCAGTCAAGCGCAACGATAGCCAAGCAAAGAGTTCTAGCCATTTCACTTGGCTGGCAGTGAGAAGGGTGTCCTAGGGATAAGCATTATCCTTAGGGAATGTGACTCTTAGGAGGACTCTGCTAAGGAGAGTCAGAGTCCTGCTAGGATTGTACCACGTACGAGGAATCTATAAAAACTCATAACCACACCTATTTCCAGGTATTGCAATTCATACTCCCGAATTCATAGAGCTTTTGTGTCTATTGTCTGTCTGCTGACTTAGGCATCAGAAGGGTTTCCGATACACACCCACTAGCTAGCTCACGTTTGTGTTTTCAGGTGATAAGCTAAACATTTGGAGAAGTGCAAACTTGATCAACAGGATTATACGAGAAAAATTATTTTCATGCTCGTACAATATTAAAACAGTTTATGGTTCTTATATATCAGTAAGTCAAATATTAAAAGTTTATAAAAGCTTACAATTGCCTTTGTCATTGTGAACAGAATGTTTTCCTTTAGCTTTGTTAAATACTTAGTCTCATGGCCAGAATTGATGAGACTAACGCTTCTAAATCAGGAAAATTTAGTGGAGAACATTTTAGGAGATAGCAAACTCAAGTGCGCTTACCGTCTTGGGACTATTTTCTGCTATTGACAACTCTCAGCCTAGCCAGACCAAACATCATCTTGGATGACAGAAGAGCAAATTAAATATCATTGTTATCGTAGAATTCTTAAAGCCCTTTCAAACCATCTTTATGACGTGTATCTTTATGCAACTATAACTACAAAAGGTCTTTGGGAAACATTAGAAGCTGAGTATGGGATTGATGATGTTGGCATAAATAAGTTTACCGTTTCGACTTTCAACAATCACAAGATATCAAATGAAAAACCTATAGGCGAACAAATTCATGAATTTCAAGAACTTTTGAGGGGTGTTGAAAAAAGTGGGACATTTTTTAGTGAAGATTTGAAAGTATCATGTCTTATTGATAAACTACCATCATCTTGGATAAACTGTGCCCAGTCTCTTAGGCACAAACAAGGAGGGCTTATCTTGCTCAAACTTTAAACTCCCTTAGGGTGGAAGAGAAACATAGAGCTAGTTTGCCCAAACCATCAAAAAAGCCACCTAAGGTAGACCTTATTGAAAATAAAAATAGCAACAACAACAACCACCGTAGCAATAAAAATTTGAACAAGAACTTCAACAATAGGCCTCGAAATTTCAACAATATAAATAATTTTAAACCTAGGGGCACAAACTTCAAAACCAATCGGTTCAATCCAAATAGAAACCAAGCTCCAATTCATCAAAGCAATGACAAACTCAAGGGCATCATTAAAGGTAGCAAGCATTGCTTTGTTTGTGGAAGAATGAATCATGTTGCAAAAGATTGCTATTTCAAAAAGACCAAACCAGTGCAATATCAAAGGTATTCAAGGGCTCAAGTGAGTATGTTAGAAGAGAATCAAGCTAAACCATCTTTTAGGTATAGTTCCTCTTTAGTAAATTTTACATACAAAAATAAGGATTGGTGGTTAGACTCTGGAGCTAATGTGCATATTTGTATTGATCATAAATGTTTTAAAACTTATCAGGAGTCAAGTGGAGGAAGTGTAACACTAGGCAATAATTCAACCACACAAGTTCTTGGAGTTGGTAGCGTGGAATTGAAGATGACATCTGGGAAGACATTGATTCTTAAAGAAGTGCGACATGTTCCAGAAGTTAGAAGAAATCTTATTAGTGGATGTAGTTTAGTAGAACAAAGTTATAAAATAGTTTTGGAGTCTAATAGAGTTGTAATAACCAATAATGATATTTTTGTTGGAAAAGGTTATGTTTCTAAGGGTTTATTTAAATTGAATATTGTTTCAGATGACAATGAATTTTCTGTTCAAATTTTGAATGTGGAATCGTGTGATGTATGGCATGGAAGATTGGGTCATATTAATTTATAGAAAATGAGAAAAATGATGGAGTAAAATCTTATACCCAAGTCACAAGTGGATTTGAACGTAAGTGCGAAATTTGTGTTCAAGCCAAACAAGTTAGAAAAGCCCATAAAAGTGTAGAGGTTAAGGATACCGAACTCTTACAATTAATTCGTTCAGATGTTTGTGATTCAGCTAGGCCACCTACTAGAGCTAGAAATAAATACTTTGTAACATTTATTGATGATTGTTCGAGGTATTGTTACATTTATCTTATTAAAACCAAAGATGAGGTTTTAATAAATTTGTGGTATACAAAAATGAGGTGAAAAATCAATTAGAGAAGAAAATTAAGGTTCTTAGATCTAATAGAGGAGGAGAATATAGTTTTACTAATCTTTTATCTTCTTGTGAAGGAGCATGGATACACGAGGTAACATCACCTTATTCACCCCAATCTAATGGAATAGTATAAAGAAAGAATAGGACCTTAATGGATATCGTGAATGCAATGTTATTAAGTTCTGGTTTACCTGAAAATTTGTGAGGGAAAGCAATACTTAGTGCATGTTTTGTCTTAAATAGAGTAATCTTGAAGAATAATGTTAAGACACCTTATGAAATACAGAAAAAGAGATGTCCTAATCTTAGTTTCTTAAAAATGTGGGGTTGTTTAGCTAGATTAGCCATACCTTATCCTAAAAAGAAGAAAATAGGTCCCAAGACAGTAGACGTTGTATTCATAGGATATGCTCATAATATTCATAGTACTACTTGCAGGTTTCTAGTTTTCAATTTTGAAATTAGTGAGATTACCAACAATACCATAATAGAATCTAGAGATGCCACGGTCTTTGAACATGTCTTTCCTTACAAAATGAGAATTTCAAGTCAAGTTAATGACTTTCCATCAACTAGTCATAATCTTGTTTCTAATACTAGTATGGTTCAAGAAAAAGAGTTAGAATCTCAAAAACTTAGAAGGAGTAAGAGAACTAGAATAGAAAAGAATCTAGGAGAAGGATTCTATACATTCATGATAGAGCGTAAACCCACAACCTATAATGAAGCAATGACCTCAATAGATGCACCATTCAATAAGGAGGCTATTAATAGTGAGATAGAATCAATTTTACAAAATAATACTTGGGAAATAGTCGATTTGCCACCAAGAAATAAAGCAATTGGATATAAATGGACATTTAAAAAGAAATTGAAGCCTGATGGAAGTATTGATAAATATAAGGCAAGATTGGTAGCT